TAGTAAAATATGGTCCTCTTCCAATGGTTCCTTCTGGTTTAATGCTGTCAATTTTAAAAAGTGTTAGTAAGAGATACTTCTTTTATAGTTATGAGATGGCATTTCTTTGCTTTAATAGAGTCCCCCCCAAATTAGTGAAGCAATTAAAATAATACACAAAGCTTTTAGTATAGCAGCAAATTAAGCTATACCTACTATAAACTACTACACTAATTATATCCAAAAGTTGTAAACCAAAACTACAACCATGAGAAATTATATCGATTATACATATAAGCAAAGGTATGAGACAAGTAAGTCATCCTCTCTTATCTAGTATACTTAAACTATAACTCCTAGAGCTAAATTTATGTTTTACGTGCTATAGTTTATATACTATATTCTACCATATACTTACAACCTATAAAAGTAAATGACCATTTATCAAAGTTATGTGAAAAAAATAAGACAAAAGTAAAATGGCCTTTGTTACTATAGTAAAAATAAACCTAAGACTGCCTGCCCTTTTTAAGTCCTTATACATATGTTCTTCAACTTACAACAGGGTTATGTCCTGATAAACCCATTGTAAACTGAAAATATCATTAAATTGAAAATGTATTTAATATGCCTAACCTATCAGGCATCACAGCTTAGCCTAATCTACCTTAAATGTGCTCAGAATACTTACATTTGCCTATAGGTGGTCAAAATCTATACTTAATACAAAGCCTATTTTATAATAAAGTGATGACTATCTCTGTAATTTATTGAACCCTATGCTGAAAGTGAAAAACAGAATGGCTGTATGGTTAGGGTTAGGGTACATTTTCTACTAAAGTACATTTTCTACTAAATGTGTATTGCTTTCATAGTATTTATTGGAAGTCAAAAATTTTGAGTCAAACCATCGTAAGTCAGGGACCATCTGTATACCTCTGGACGCTTCTCAGACCTGTTTATATGACTGGCTTTTACCTAAACAGTTTACATTAAACATGTATTCTTAAAATGTATCTACAGCTGTACTTTTTCCAGAGGTGTAAACAATATTCAAAAACATTTCTGGACATTCTCTTTGGATCTCCAATCCATATCAAGTTTACAACCTATATTACGAAGAACAAAATTGCTTTATAAATAGATATTTTACTAAAAATAGTACTAACTCAAAGTGAAGAAATATCAAATAATCTTCTTACAGTGGTCAATTAAAAAGCTATTCCATACTTTTAACATTTATCTGAATCTTCTATAAACTAGTTATGTAAATTACATGGTTTAATAAAGAATCTAGGCAGAAAAATAAAAATAAAATTGGCCACAATTTATTCCATCAGAAATCTATGGAAGACTAATAAAAAAGGGGGAAAATGTATTAAAAAATATTGTTTTTCTACTTACTAGATGACACCATATAAGTTACATAATCTCTGGGCTTTCATTTTCTCATTTTTACAAAAGAGAAAAATACCACCTACCTCACAGACTGCTATGAGGATTAAGATAATGAACATGAAAAGACTCTTCAGTTTTAAAGCAAATATGATAAAACAGTAATAGAAGCAAGCACTGATCTGTACTACCCAACAAGGACACAGCTTAAGAAGAATCAAGGCACCATGCTCTGGTACTTTCTGATTTCAAACAAGGGGTTCAAATGTTACAAAAGGTAACGCTTCATACCTTTATAAGTTAGTTTTTTTGTAATGTATAAGTAACTTTGTTATGGACTATTTTAAACCTACTTGAGATAAAAGTATTCTCTTCCTCATTTAAAATGGTTAAGCGTTTCAGGAAAATTGGTAAAACAATGACAAAAACTTGGTCACTTTAATTATGAGCAAAAGAAATATCAATGTTAAAAGTAAATGGAACTTGAAACAGATCATCAGACAGAAGGAAGAAAATATTGGTAAATTCTATGAATTAATGTTAAGAAATGTCAGTAACTGGAACATTACTGTGTATGCTTTATTTTAAAGGGACAATATCAATATATATATATATTTTTTTTTTTTCACTGAATTGAAATAACTTCCAGTTCTTACTTAATATAAGTAAAATATACACATATATGTACATGTACATATATTCAAATATTATATTACATTAATTTATTTTTTAGAGATGGGATCTCACTGTATTGCCCAGGCTGGAATGCAGTGACTATTCACAGATGTAATCATAGCTCACTGCATCCTTGAACTCCTGGCATCAAGCCATCCCTCCTGCCTTGGCCTTCTGAATAGCTGGGACTACAGGCGTGCACCACCACGACTGGCAAATATTATTTTTAAATAAACTGTCTAAAAATTTTTTTCCAGGAAGTATGCACAAAGTAATTTTGAATAAATTGTCCTACCAGAGAAAAAGTTTAATTTGTATTAAGAGATGTACTAGAATATGTTATGTGTTCTGGACAGTAAAAAGATTTAGTAGCCATAGAAATAACAGTAATGTAAGTTTATCAAATATTTTTCCTTAATTAAGGAATTTTAATATAGTAAAACAAATCTTGGATTTCTTTTTTTTTTTTTTTTTTTTTGAGACAGAGTCTCGCTTTGTTTTCCAGGCTAGAGTGAGTGACGTGGCGTCAGCCTAGCTCACAGCAACCTCAAACTCCTGGGCTCAAGCGATCCTCCTGCCTCAGCCTCCCGAGTAGCTGGGACTACAGGCATGCGCCACCATGCCCGGCTAATTTTTTTATATATATATCAGTTGGCCAATTAATTTCTTTCTATTTATAGTAGAGACGGGGTCTCGCTCTTGCTCAGGCTGGTTTTGAACTCCTGACCTTGAGCAATCCGCCCGCCTCGGCCTCCCAAGAGCTAGGATTACAGGCGTGAGCCACAGCGCCCGGCCCAAATCTTGGATTTCTTTACTAGCCAGAAGAAACAACTCTTGACAGTGTCCTTTTATATTATCAGAAATTATGCCTAAAAGCATCATGCATATGTAAATGCAATCTTTTACCTTCAATATCATCTGAAAAGGTAGACAAAAATAAGTAAATAAAAAGTGGGTGATAAAGAAAACAGCTTTTATGTAGTAGTATACAAAATAAAACAGGAGCGTAAAAACGTCAAACAAGCAACATAATTTCCTGGAAGAATATTCATGTTAGTCAAAGCTGATATATCCTAAAAGAGATATAACATATACTATGATTTAGGACTATGGCACAGATTTATTATTAAAGGGTTATAGAGTTCATTATGTCAGCTAAGGGATTACCTTTGATGAAATAGCAAAGGGACAGTATCAATAACAAAACTAAAGGACACATTTCTCAGTATCTAGATTTTTAAAAAACCGATTCTTCCAGGATGAGTAAATTTTCAGAAGAAAAAGTCCTTGAAAAAGTGATTCTACCACTGCTTATCCAAAGAATTGTTTATCGTATTTTATCCAAAGGATCATTTTGGGATACTTAATTAAAAATAAAGAGGCTAGGGCCGGGCGTGGTGGCTCACGCCTGTAATCCTAGCACTCTGGGAGGCCGAGGTGGGCGGATTGCTCAAGATCAGGAGTTCGAAACCAGCCTGAGCAAGAGCGAGACCCCGTCTCTACTATAAATAGAAAGAAATTAATTGGCCAACACACACACACATATATATATATATATATATATACACACAAAAAAAAAATTAGCCGGGCATGATGGCTCAAGCCTGTAGTCCCAGCTACTTGGGAGGCTGAGGCAGCAGGATTGCTTGAGCCCAGGAGATTGAGGTTGCTGTGAGCTAGGCTGACGCCATGGCACTCACTCTAGCCAGGGCAACAAAGCGAGACTCTGTCTCCAAAAAAAAATAAATAAATAAATAAAGAGGCTAAATACACAAAGAAAAACAAAAAAGTGGGCTTTAAACACGATTATATTCTAAGTTTATAATAAAGGAAACCACTTAATTAAAAAATATCATTGTTAGACATTTTTTAAGAACAGAAAAATCATCCCCAGAAAACTGACTAGAAAAAGACCTAAATTTCTAATCTGAAACAACTAAGAGAAAAAGAAAAAAGAAGAGAACACAAAAGAAAAGAAAAAATTTTTTTCAGTGTGTTTGAACAAATGTGTTACATCTAATTTTCTTGTCTTATAAAGAATTAGAAAAAATAAGCATCTTTTCCTTCAAAGTGTGTTGTATTTATTGTATCTAAGTGTCATGTGACTGGTAACCTCTTTTTCCATGGGTACCAAATGATGTTCACTAAATATTTTTCATTGCTGAGAAATTAATAAAGTTAAGCTATAGGCTAGATATTATAGGGAAATAAATATGTAAGTAAAAGGATATTTAAGTCTAAGAAATTGTGACTATTCAACACAACCTAGTTTCAAATGTTCCCATTACTAGTATTCTGTGAAGTTTAATATCTACGTAAATTCCTGCTCCTTTATTTTAATAAATTATGTGCAAGGTCAACATACATCTACATTTCTTTATGATTAATCTACTTAGAATTTTGAAAGATCATATAATTTCAGTCTACATTAGATACATAAAATGCATGAATACATTCATTCACCTTCTGACTTTATAGAATAGCGGAAAACCCACTATATCCCACTGCAGCAGGCAACGTGATATGAAGAATGCACTTTTCAACAGCACTGTGAGATGTTACTCACTGCATATGTTTCGCAATATATAGGACAAAATGTACACAGACTTCCAATCAAGAATTTCACATAGTGACAATAAAATAAATTAAATGACAGGCTACCTACCTCATTTTAAGTACGTAAGTATTTTGAAACAAAAAATAAAAAGGAAGATGTACCAAAGACATGTGTGGTTTTCAAACTGATTCACATTGCTGTACACCAAGCGGACTTAATGTCAAGGAAAAGTACTTTCTAAATTGAATAATTGAAACTTTTCTAGAACTAAACTTGTCTTTTAGAAAAAATCTTATAAATTTGTGAAATAAATTCAACTTCAAAAGCAGCAAAATTAGTGTAACCCACTTAATTTTATGTACAGAAAAGACAGTAAAAATAACTCAGAACTTACCTACTTCTTCTTCTTCATCATTAGATATTATATTATATAGTGTGTCCAAAGCATAACCTATTATTTCAGAATCCGAACTGGAAAAAAGAAATTATTATACTTTTACACTGCTAGTTAGAGTGTAAACTGTTATGACTATTTTTAGATAGTTATTTAACAGGACCACATGAGACATAAATTCCACTTCTAAAACCTATTCTAAGAAAACATCAGATTGCAAACTATAAAAAATGTGTAGAGGTTTATTATAATTGTGAAAAATTAGAAATAGACTAAATGTTCAATAATAAAAGAAAACATTATGGCAAATCCATACATATAATGCAGTAGTGAAAAAAATGCTTTTTGGTTTTGCTTTTCATTTTGAGACAGAGTCTCACTCTGTCGCCCAGGCTAGAGTGCAGTGCTGTCATCATAGCTCACTGCAACCCAAAAGCCCTGGGTTCAAGAGATCCTCTGGCCTCAGCCTCCTGAGTAGCTGGGCCTACCATGCCCAGCTAATTTTTCTATTTTTTGTAGAGAAAGGGTCTCACTCTTGCTCAGGCTGGTCTCAAACTCCTGGCCTCAAGCATTCCTTCTGTCTCGGCCTCCCAGAGTGCTAGGATTACAGGTATAAGCCACTATGCCCGGCAAAAAGAATGTCTTTTTAAAGAACATTTAATGACTTGGTAATTGAAAAAAAACTCTTGATAGGATGTCAAGTGGAAAAAGACTGAATACAAAAATTTATGTACAGAGTGATCCCATTTAGTAAAATATATATGTATATACGTCTGTGTCTATATATATATTTTAAAACATTATAAGTTTATAAAAAATAAACCCAACTTTAAAACCAGCAAAACTAGCACAACTCAGTTAATTTTATGTGTAGATGTTCACATATATTTTGTATATATAGATGTATACACACACAAACATAACAGGGTTATTTCCAGTTGGACTACTAGTTTTTTTCCCTTCTCTACACATTATTTTCTTTAAAAAAATCCTATGATAAACATATACTATTTATAAAATCAAGAAGTATAAGATTTTGTAGTTGTTCACAGACAAAATTTGAAATCATATGAAATGATGATAGCATTTAGAGGGGAAAGCAAGAGTGAGATACAGGTTTCAAAGATTAGTGAATATGAAAAAGTCATTAGGACTAATAAATATAAATAAACATGTGGTATCAAAGGGGATTACAACCAGAGGACATAAATATCAAATAAAGTAGATTTTTAAAAAAATTATTTACTGGTTTTTTTTTTTGGAGAAATTTTGAGGAGCATCTTTTAAGAGACTATTGAGAAACTAGTAGTAAAAAAGAACTTCTAGGCCAGGCGCGGTGGCTCACGCTTGTAATCCTAGCACTCTGGGAGGCCGAGGCGGGTGGATTGCTCAAGGTCAGGAGTTCGAAACCAGCCTGAGTGAGACCCTGTCTCTACTATAAAAAAATAGGAAGAAATTAATTGGCCAACTAATATATATATATTAGCCGGGCATGGTGGTGCGTGCCTGTAGTCCCAGCTACTCAGGAGGCTGAGGCAGGAGGATCGTTTGAGCCCAGGAGTTTGAGGTTGCTGTGAGCTAGGCTGACGCCACGGCACTCACTCTAGCCTAGGCAAGAAAGCGAGACTCTGTCTCAAAAAAAAAAAAAAAAAAAAAAAGAACTTCTACACGATTAAAGGCATCTATGAAAACCCTACAAACAAACATCGTATGTAATGGTGAAAGACTGAATGCTTTCCCCCTAAGATAAAGAATAAGACAGTGATGCCCCCTCCTCTCACCACCTTTATCCAACATTGACCTGGAGGTTCTAGCTAGAAAAATATGCAAGAAAATGGAATATTAAATAAAAGGTACAGAGTTTGGAAAGGTAGAAGTAAAACCATACCTATTCACAGATGACATAATCTTGTATATAGAAAATCTTAAGGAATTCATTTAAATTAGAACTAGTAAAAAAAACCTATTAGAACTAGTAAAGACAGTTGCCACATCATGAGGATACTCAAGCAGCCCTTTAAAGAGAGTAACATGGGAAAGAATTGAGGCCTCTTGCCAGGAGCAATGTGAGTGAGCCATCTTGGAATCAGACCCCTCAGCCCCCCCCCAGTCAAACCTTTGTATAACTGCAGACCTGGCTGATGTCCTGACTGCAACTTCAGAAGGCCCTAAGCCCACCTAGCTAAGCCACTCCCCAATTCCTGGTCCCTGATCCACTGAGATAACAAATATTTCTTATTTTGATTCACTAACTTTTGAAGTAAGTTGTTACACAGCAAAAGATAACTAAAACAGAGACTATGAAAGTGGTTTAAATGATTGATACAGAGAGCCAGAACTAAAGTCAATAAAGGAAATGGAGAGAAAATCATGGATTCCAGCTGTGTTTTGGTCTGTGAAGGAACAATGGGTTAAGAAGGATGAGTTCAACAAGAATCCTCCAGTTTCTGGCTTAAATGTAAAGGTGCTACTGACTGGGATGAACTCAGGGCAACAAGTAGGTGAAAGAGGCAGCAAGGAGATAGGAGCAGGAGGACCAGAGATAACATAGCTTTTGAACAATCTGAATTTAAGATATCTATGAGAGATCCTGACGTGGTAGAAATGTCTGATGAACAGCTAAACCTTGTAAGACATCCCACTAGAGGTAAGATTTGAAAGCTATCCATGCATAGTTATTATAACCAAAGACAGAGATAAAATCTTTTAAAGAGTTAAAAATAGGCTGAATGGTTTCTCTCTTAAGACATGATTAGATTTAACATTATTAGATTTAACATTAATGTTAGATTTAACATTATCACTCTTATTAGTGCAGTTTATTTTCCCTAAAAAAGCAAGTCTGGATAACTGATATACCATAATATGTTATATATATGTTAATATAATATGTTGTATATTATATTATACTAAAATATAGTATATGTAAGTGAATATCCAAATATCCATTTGCCCAATTGAAACTCAAAATCTCAAGTCTTTTTTTTTTTTTTTTTTTGAGACAGAGTCTCGCTTTCTTGCCTAGGCTAGAGTGAGTGCCGTGGCGTCAGCCTAGCTCACAGCAACCTCAAACTCCTGGGCTCAAGTGATCCTCCTGCCTCAGCCTCCCGAGTAGCTGGGACTACAGGCACAAGCCACCATGCCCGGCTGATTTTTATATATATATATATTAGTTGGCCAATTAATTTCTTTCTATTTTTATGGTAGAGACGGGGTCTCGCTCAGGTTGGTTTTGAACTCCTGACCTTGAGCAATCCGCCCGCCTCGGCCTCCCAGAGTGCTAGGATTACAGGCGTGAGCCACCGCGCCCGGCCAAAATCTCAAGTCTTTAATCAGAACTTACTTCATCTCATTTTTATATGTCTGTCCTAATGCTCAAAACAGTGGCTTGCATCTAGTGTCCAATAAATATTTATGGAAATGACAACTCAAAGTAAAACTTAATAGCTTAAATATGTTAATAACTTCTGGAATAGTGATGCTGACTCTAAAACAAATTAATTAAAAGTTCAAGAAAAATTAGTGAGAAAAATCATTAAACAGAGACTTACCGATCCGTTTGTAAAACATGGATAAGATGTTCCATAGCTTGGATACCTACTTCCAAGCGGTATTTCTGCACATAAAAAGGGAAAATGTGATTAAAGCAACTAACATCTAATTTAAGAAACCTAATAATTTATAAAGTGTTACAAACCTTAGATAATGATTTGAGAGCACGCACAGCATTTCTTCGATCATCCAATAAAGTAGATGAAGCTACTCTGTCACAAAGCTTTTGAATCTGCCATGGAAAAATAAAATAGCATTAAAAGAATAAAAAGAAAAAAGAAACCATGAAGTTTTTATCCCCTAAATTTATACCATCTAATTTTGAAAAAAAAAAAATCAGCAAATGGGACACTGTAGAAACAGTCTCTCACAAATCTAAATATCTATTTAGGTAGTACTATTATCTCATTATACAGATCAAACAGAATATAATTATTCCACTCTTTTAAAGAAACTCATTTGTATAATTATACATATTGGTAAATACAAAGAAAACACTCTGGAAGAACGCACATTAAACTTTATTACAGATTACTCCTGGTGATTGTGAAAGAGAAGGAAGCAATTTTAGATTATATACTGATTTGGATTATTTACAATAAGCATGTTTTTACTATTGCTTCAATAACTAAAGAGAAAAAAAAAATTAAAGGAATTTCCAGAATATATTAGACCTTGCTTTTCTTCTATTACCTGCTCTAAAATGATTACCTGATTGACTTATCATTCATCTGCTCTATGAATACAACTGATTCTCATTATTTGTAGTAGTTATGTTCTATAAAGCCACCACAAACACTGAATTAGCAAATATTAAACCACCACTCCTAAGGGAAATTCCAGGTTAGTTTCCTGAGAGCCTCTGATCACATTTTCATCAGATGATCAATACAAAACCTTGTTTTATGTGTATTTCTGTTAACGACATCTTATTTAATACATATAGTTGATTATTAATATTGAACTCATGGCCAACAGCACTATAACTCATGTCTGAATGAAGCTTCCTCTGTAGAGAACATTACGGCCTTCTCGTGCTTAGAAACAGCACTACATTTGTGGGCCATTTTTAATAGGGAAATCCCCAACAAAAAAATACAAAAATGAAAAAAAACCCCACTAAACAGACTGTGAAAACCCACTAAATAGACTTGTTTACAGTATGAGAGTGGAAACAAGAAGGCAGAGCATCACCTTGTTTGACCTCAGTTGGGATGTGTGCATTGGGTGAGCCAATGCACTTTGCATTCATCAATAACCATTACAAAGTGCTGCAAGTACTGACTGGGGGATTACAAATACAGTTTAGTGAGTAGGTAAATTTGCAGATAAGAAATTGACAAATAATGAGGATAGACTGTACCTTAAATACAATCTAAGTCAGTTTCATCATCTGCAAAATGGAAGGATAAACTAGGTGAACTCTAAGGTTACTTAACACTCAAAATTTAGAACACTTTAATGATACTCAATGTTACCTAATAAGTAATAAAATATAATATTTACTATTTAAAAAACCTATTTGGGGCCAGGCACAGTAGCTCACACCTGTAATCCTAGCACTCTGATAGGCTCGAGGTCAGCAGTTCGAAACCAGCCTAAGCAAGAGCGAGACCCAGTCTCTACTATAAAATTAGAAAGAAATTAATTGGCCAACTAATATATATAGAAAAAATTAGCTGGGCATGGTGGTGCATGCCTGTAGTCCCAGTTACTTGGGAGGCTGAGGCAGCAGGATTGCTTGAGCCCAGGAGTTTGAGGTTGCTGTGAGCTAGGCTGACGCCATGGCACTCACTCTAGCCTGGGCAACAAAGCGAGACTCTGTCTCAAAAAAAAAAAAAAAAAAAAAGTCATTTAATCTTCACAAAACCCTGTTATATATACTATTACTATCTATTCACATTTTAGAGATGAGGAAACAGGCACAGTGGATAAGTAACTTGTACATGTTTATAAAACTAAGTGGTGGCTGGATGCAGTGGCTTACAACTATAATCCTAGCACTCTGGGAGACTGAGGCAGGCGGATTGCTCGAGGTCAGGAGTTTGAGACCAGCCTGAGCAAGAGCAAGACCCACTCTCTACCAAAAAATAGAAAGAAATTAATTGGCTAACTAATATATATAGAAAAAATTAGCCGGGCATGGTGGCGCATGCTTGTAGTCCCAGCTACTCGGGAGGCTGAGGCAGGAGGATTGCTTGAGCCCAGGAGTTAGAGGTTGCTGTGAGCGAGGCTGATGCCACCGGCACTCTAGCCCAGGCAACAGAGTAAGACTCTGTCTCAAAAAAACACACAAAAAACAACTAAGTGGTGAGATGGGATTCAAAGCTAAGCAGTTCGAGTGCTTGCCTACCACATGAAACTGGCTATGGCAGCCCACATTTCAGGAGGTGACAACCGGCTGGGGTTGAGCATTAGCCACATCCTCAAGGAAGGATAAGCAGACTCCAGTTCCACCTTGGACCTCTGCTCTCTTCTCTGACCATACCTGCTTCACTGATTCTACCCAACTGGAATTGAATTTGTGACCCTTGTATTGAATAACAGGACACTATACATTAACAAAAAAACAGTTCTCAAGAGAAAAGAAATATATTTGAGTAAAATTTGACCCAGAGTTAGTTTTATTTAGAAGGACCAGAAAGGGTTGATAATAGAAAAAAATTTAAGAAATAGAAGTTCTTCAACTAATTCACATTACATCAACTAGGTATTAGGTACCCTGAGAGACACAATGATGAATATGACATGGATTCTGTTATCAAAAACCTTTACAGTCTACTAGAAAAGAGTACAGTGTAATTAACAAAAGTAACTACAAATCTGGTATTTTTAATAGTTTAATAGTTTTAATTAATAAAATGCTCTATCTGTTTTAACATGGAAAGATCTCCAAAACACATCAAGGAAAAAGGTAAGCTATAAACACTATAAACAGTGTATCACTTATTTTAAAAAGAATATGTTCATACAAATATATAATTCTATATTACATGGAGGCATGATTCTACATAAAGGTCCAGCAGGATTTATACCAAATGAATAGTAGTTATCTCTGGAAAGAGAACTGAAATCAGAGATGGGCGATTAAGGAGGATTTAAAATTTACTAGTATTGTTTGCCATTTTATATAATAAAAAGATGAAAAACCCAATTAATAAAATATGTATAACACCATGCAGCTCACACAATAACCATGTATCAGTACTCTTCTTTGTTTTCAGCAATTGCCAGGAATTCACAATTCCACCTACCAAGTGAAACGTGAAAAGGACGAATAATTCCACTGACAACTGGTAAATCGGGCATAATTAGAATTATAATAACTTGTCAATTAACAAAATTTCTCTTGCTATCCAATAGTGCCAAAAAAGAAGCAACAGGAATACAAAAGTGACTAGGAAAGAAAAAATTGAGATGAGGAATGTGAAAATGAAAAATTACCAAAAGGGATAAAAAAAGAAGACAGCATAGAATTAGGATGGTGAAGGTACACTTAAAACTTCAAGGACACTAGCATTAATATAGTCTGTAGTATTTTCTTACAATTCCTAATAAAAGTACTTTTTTCTCTTTTTTGAGTATTCAGTAACTACTTAACTGACTTGCAAAATGAAGTACAGGAATGCAATTAAAACTCTAACCATTCAATCATTTATTCAATAAATATCTAATTCTAACTTAATTTTATGATATAATTTTGCCCTTGCCTTCACGAAGCTTAAAACATAGTTGTACTTTCCTAAAACAGAACTTCCCTAACCATGACTATTTACTGTAGGACTAAAAAACAATTCATGCTTATAGTTAATTCATTAATAATGTTCTAATAGAATAAAAAAATAATTACTATTTTAGAATACAAAAAAAGAACCAGAAATTTAATTTGTTTTAAATGGAACCCTCTAACTGAAAAGCCTTCCTAAAAAAAGCAAAAGTTGGGCCGGGTGCGGTGGCTCACACCTGTCATCCTAGCACTTTGGGAAGCCAAGGTGGGAGGATTGCTCAAGGCTAGTTTGAAACTAGCCTGAGCAAGAGTGAGACCCCGTCTCTACTAAAAAATAGAAAGAAGTTAATTGAGCTACTAAAAATATATAGAAAAAATTAGCCGGGCATGGTGGCACATGCCGGCAGTCCCAAGCTACTTGGGAGACTGAGGCAGAAGGATCACTTGAGCCCAGGAGTTTGAGGTTGCTGTGAGCTAAGCCGACGCCATGGCACTCACTCTAGCCTGGGAAACAAAGTGAGACTCTGTCTCAAAAAAAAAGCAAAAGTTGATCTTATCTTCAGATGACCTAAATTATAATAATCTAAAAAAAGATGTGAGAACACTACAAAGTCAAACACAAGTCTCTTTGCAGACAAATCCAATAAATCCAATACAATCCATTTCCATTAGAATTACCTAGAAGTCAGCCAAGGTAAACAGACTGCTTCACTTATTCTCCATAATTTCTCCAAGAAATGAACTATGTTTTTCAAAAGAACGTCCTTTTAAGCAAGAAAATCTACCAAATACTCTACCATAAATGTTAGCATCTCGAAATCTAACACTATACAAGTTTTCAAATAAAAGGTGAATAACTTTGTGAATACACAAACAAAATTTATGGCATTTCCTGCCTGAGGTATAAAAATAATAAGCATAAATTTTCTGTATCTACTATAGACAAAAAGCAGAATGCAAAGTGGTATAAATAATAAAAGGTAAACACACAAAAAAAGAGAAACAGTACTTCTGTCAACAAATTTATAATAAATTCTTATAGCCTCTCCTAAAAGATAATAAGATTCAAGAGTGATTACAATTACTTCTCAAACCATACAACATCAGGATTTATATGACCTGCAGGACAATTTTTCCCTAAGTATGTTTTTCAAAATTCTAGACCCACAAAGTTTCCTGGAGGGAAAAAAAGGATCTGGTCAAATAAATTTGGCAAACACAGCTTACTTTGTATCTCCATTTTAAAAATATAACACAGTGCCTGCTTATCAAATCTTGTATAAACATTAGAGGTTTCTGTTTTGTTTTTTTATTTTCTTTTTACTGATTATAAGTGTGTATTTTGCTTTGTTTTTTATCATTACACATCACACTTCTCTGTTGACAAAATTCTTTTTTCAAGGATATCTATTCAAATTTTTTGGATCAGACCTTGGTAATGCTAGGATCATTAAATTTTCATTAAATTGAAAAATCATTTCAATTTAAAATTGAAATGATTCCAGTTCTTATAAATCACCCTAAATAATCTACATAATTAACTTTCAAAAATGCCATGTAGTATTGAACAGACACTACCTCAAAAGAGTACAAAAAGGCATCTTTGCTTGGATATGGAAGTGATCAAAACAAATTATTATGGTTTTCTCTGACACTGTTATTGCAGGACAGGCCAATGAGAAAACACATTCCAGTTATGACATTGACCTGGTTATTAATGTAGAATATAAAACATCAACCCAAATTGGAGTTTTGGCCTACACCTTTATAGTAACATGGTATAAAATGTGCTTGACCAAACCAAAACTATGTCTAAATTTAAACCCACACTCCTTAATGATTATTATTAAAAGAAAGTATAGCTGTGTCTGTACTTGTTAGCCCTTTTGCTTTCTCAGCTAGCTGATCAAAGTATGATCTAAAAAGATACATCATAACAGTGTAGTAGTTCTGTATACTTTTTTTGGACTTTAGCAACCTTCATGCCTCAGGATCCAACTTGAGAACAGAAAACATCCCTATGATTTATTATCAAATGTTGTTAACACTTCTTTTGGCATTTTCAAGAAACTAGCTTTAAAAAAGGTACTAGTTGGAAGGTAGATGTACAGCTAAGCGCATGTGAGCATACAATAGCATGAGTAGTCCCTGGTGGTCTAGAAAAAAACCCCACAAAAAACAAAAGCATGAATGGGATTTTTGCTATAATAGTGTTTATAGTATTTGCACCAAGCAAATTATGTCAAGCCTAAGGAGGTGTTAATCATCAGAAATCAGTGTCTTTCTCTATTTTAAATAAAAAAGAGAAGTCAAATTTTAAAGCACATGACTCTAAGTTTAATATGGATGAAATTCTGAATTTAAAATATCGAGTACTTTATAGAATTGACTATTCTATGATACAGACAGATATTTACTACTTGACTGATTCTGAAGAACATCTTAATACCAGTCCAAAGTTACTCTAAGAGTGTGAAAAGCTAGGTATTGTACAATCAATATTACTCTCACACTTTATTTATTTTTTTTTTTTTACTCTCACACTTTAGAAGATAGTTAAGTTCAATAAGAAAAAGCAAAAAAGCAGTCAAAGCATTTAATAAATCTGAAAAAAATCCCTTAAGAAAAAGTTTGACACAATTGACTTCAATCATTTGAGAACTTTGACTCCTAGTCTTTGTTTTAGGCCGGGCGGGTGGCTCACGCCTGTAATCCTAGCTCTCTGGGAGGCTAGGACGCCAGGGCACTCACTCTAGCCTGGGCAACAAAGTGAGACTGTCTCAAAAAAAAAAAAAAAAAAAAAGTATTGTTTCAATCCTAATAATTTGTTAGGTTGCTATGATTTCAGATCTGTGATTTCTTTCAAATAAAACTATATTAATTCATTTTAGAAGTATTTATCGAGGCCAAGCGCAGTAGCTCATGCCTGTAATCCTAGCTCTCTGGGAGGCCAAGGCAGGTGGATCACTCAAGGTCAGGAGTTTGAAACCAGCCTGAGCAAGAGCAAGACCCCGTCTCTACTAAAAATAGAAAGAAATCAATTGGCCAACTAAAAATATATAGAAAATCTTAGCTGGGCGTGGTGGCGCATGCCTGTAGTCCTACAGGCATGCGCCACCTACTCGGGAGGCTAAGGCAGGATGATCGCTTGAGCCCAGGAGTTTGAAGTTGCTGTGACCTAGGCTGACTCCACGGCACTCACTCTAGCCCCTGCAACAGAGTGACACTCTGTCTCAAAAAAAAAAAAAAAAAAGAAATATTCATTGAGCATCTACTACTATGGAAAAACAGATTAAAATACATACGAACCCTGCCCTACAGACACTTTACAAGTCTAGAAGGAATAAGATATGCATGTATGGTAGAAAGCATAAGAAATGCACAGTCTAGTTAAAAGACAAAATTACTCTGAGAGGAAAGAGTATCTGGAGTGTGGTAGGGGAAAGAAGTGGGGGGTGCAGATTAGGGAAGACACTGATGATGAATTTGAAGGACAGGTAGAATTTAGACAAAAGAGGGAAAAAATGAGAAAAGCAAAAAAGATGGAAACCCACAATAAAAAAGTTAATTTTGAAAAAATGGAAAACACAAAATACTAAATATCCAGGCCACATCAAATTACCAATTAAAACATCTAATACTGTACTACACACTCCATTGATGCTCTATAAATACTTCTAAATTAGTGACCCATGGTCTCTTATACCTGTTATACTTCCTGACGGAATAAGGTGATAAAACAAGTTTTATTCATAGTGTAACTCAGAGTAAATGAATTCTTTTCAGAGGACAAAGTACTTTTCCAATTTTGGAAAATTTCAGAAGACAAATTACTTTTCCAAGTTACTTTCCAAAGTTAGGCAACAACAACTTTCTTTTCAGTTTATATATACAACATACAGAAGGGATACTCAAACTTCATTTTGAAATGACATAAAAACTATGCTGTTCCATTCACAGTGGCAAGATTAAAGTGTTCTAATTCTAACTCTGCAATACTGTACAAGCTGCTTTAGTGTTCTGTGCTTGTAAAACGAAGAGGAACTACAAGGGGCTTTCCAGCTTTAAAATCCTACACTCTGTGATAAATTCTACCCTGTTTTTTTTATAGAAGTCACTGTGACAAGGCCAACTATAACAAAAAAAAAAAGAGAAAGAAAGGGTAAACCATCCACAGTAAAAACTACCTAAACCACCTAAACCATCCACAGTAAAAACTACCCTTTATTGAGCATCTACTAAGTGCCAGGCTCTTTCTATTTCTTTTTTTGAGACAGTCTCACGTTGTTGCCCAGGCTAGAGTGCCATGGCGTCAGCCAAGCTCACAGCAACCTCAAATTCCTGGGCTCAGGCAATCCTGCTGCCTCAGCGCCCCCAGTAGCTGGGACTACAGGCATGCGCCACCATGCCCGGCTAATTTTTTCTAAATATATTAGTTGGCCAATTAATTTCTTTCTATTTATAGTAGAGATGGGGTCTCGTTCTTGCTCAGGCTGGTTTCGAACTTCTGACCTCGAGCAATCCGCCTGCCTCGGCCTCCCAGAGTGCTAGGATTACAGGCGTGAGCCATCCACCGCACCCAGCCCTCTTTCTATTTCTTATCTCACTCAATCCTCACTACATCCCGAAGAGCAGGTACTTTCCTCATTTTACTTAGAGGGTATTAGCCATCTCTTGCCTGTCCAATCCAATCAGAGGTGGAAGGCCAGGAGTCAAATCAAGGTCTAATTCCAAAGCAAGTTCTAATAAAACCATACTTCAAAGCCTAGTGTCTCAAACACTAATATTAGACAAAATAAATGAACAAGAACTGAAGAGGTGGCCTGTGATTATGGTAATCTGGAGAGAACATGGTCTTCTAACAGGGTCACCAGGGCACCCTGTTCCCAAGTGAGAATGCACAAGTGAAGCCAAATATTGTGTGAGCTATTTTGATTTTCAAATGAGGGAAACAGTCACCAGATTTAAACTTCTGCTTTAAACAATTCTAATCTAGACTTGTATAGTTAATTTTAATAATATTATATAAATTTCCCAAATTCCCAGATAAGCACTGAAATATGGGGATCAGCAATAAAATCTAGGCTTTAGAGTAAGGCACACATAGGTTGAATCTTGGCTCTATGACTAGCAATGTGACCTTAGTCAAGTTACTTCACTCCTCTAAGCCTTACTTCTTCATTTGTAAAGTGAGGATACCATCACTTATTTTGCAGAGTAGTTAGGGATTAAAGGAGAACATGGAATATAAAGAACTCAGCTCGGTACTTAGCATAAAGTAGGAGCTCAAGCTACTATTATTACACCTTAGGTTCCCAGTAACAAAGTTATGTCTATGAATATTATCCAAAGTTTTACCTTTACAATGTCATACCTGTTCACTATGATGTAATCTAAAATTATTCTCAAATAAAAAGTTTATTTTGAAAACTTCAGATTCCCAGTAACAAAGCTGCGTCCACGACTACTATCCAAAATTTACCTTTAAAACGTCATACCTGGTCACTATGATGTAACCTGAAATTATTCTCAAATAGTTTATTTTTTTAAAAAAAGTCTTACGTCCTTAGTTCCGTTAGACACTAAGCAAACTTCAAAATAAGTTTATCCTAAACCTAAAATCTAAGCAACTATCAAATACTGTTTTCCAGTAGCTTAACAATTTTTTAAATGACATTGCAAATCGTGTCATTCAGGCAGAAAAGCGGGAGATGTCTCCCCAGAGCGCAAAAGATCCCAACTACGTCCAACTAGGTTTTTGCCAAATGACGTGCACTAATTTGAGTGAGTCCAAAAAGCGGGATCTGAACTAACATAAAACCAAGCACAACGACCTTGTCCTTCCAGTTGATGGGACAGGAGCAGGTGGCTTTGTGCCCCCAAAGAATATCGTTTTATTCTTAGCCAACACGCTCTCAACCAACAGCTGGGTTTTTAAACCTTGCAATCTTCCCCCAAAGCAGGACTTCACTGCACTCCTCTGGGCCAGTGGAGACGCGGGCGAAAGACAAGCAGGGAGGAGCGGGGAGCGGTCGCGGCCCCGAGTGGCGTGGGACACAGGTCGGGCCACCTCGGCGCGGCGTCCGTCCCTTCCCAAGCGGCACCGCCCGCAGACCACCGTCCTCGCCCCGAGCCGCGGGGCCTGCGGAGCGCGGCCGCTGTCAGCCCGACCGCGCCGGGGGCCTGAAGGAACCACCCCGGGGTCTCAGGAGAGGAAGGCAGGCAAAGGGAAAGGCGGCATGGGGAGCCCCAGTCTACGATGGGGCGCGAGAGGTGACCTCTGGGCCCCCAAGTCCTCCGCCCCCGCCCGAGCCCGGAGCCTTCCCGGTCCCCTCACCGTCTCAGCTTCTGTGTGCTGGGGTCCCGCACTCTGACCCCCCATGACCCCGCGGAGGAAATTCATCTTGCAGCTACGCGACCGGCTTGACCGGCTCCTCACGGAAAGGAAAGAAGCCCACTTCCCCCGGCATCCGCAGGGCTAGGCCCCCAAGCCCTCACTCGGCGCTCCCCGGCCGCCGCCACCTCGGTCGCCTGCTCTGCGGCCGCTCCAGCCCCCGAAGGCCGGAAACAGCCGCCACCACGGGCCGAGATGCGCATGCGCGGGGACGTGGCATTACGTGGCGGCTCGAAGGGCGAAGGCAAAAGGGGAGAGAAGGCGAGAGGAGCCCCGGAGCCAGGTTCCGCCAAAGGCCCCGCCCACCGCGCAGCCCCGCCTCCTGCCGCAGGGACACGCCCCCTGCTCCCGCCCTTCGCGGATCTCTTCTGCTGGCCGCAGTCGCCCACGTGGTCGGAGCCGGGCCCTGCAGGCTGGCGGGGCTCCTAGCTGTCGCCGAGAGGGACTGACTGCACACTATCAGATCCGGGGTCTCATTTCGTTGAGTCGAAAAGTGAAGTTTTTCCATCGGCCGACGTGACAGGTAAGGGGTCCCAGCCCCTCGGAGGGTTCGTCTGGTTTTGCGTTTTAATAGCGCAAGCGTCGTGGCCTTCTGATCCCGGTAAATTGCATTTTTTTACAGGGCTTTGTTTGGTGGTAAAAAAAAAAAAAGGGTGCTAGAGACACCCCCTTCATCCCACGGCCACTGGGGGGCGCATTTCTCAGCTCTTGCTCTTCAAACCTGCTAGAAGGAATTCCTATTTCTAAATACCAGGTACGCTGCTGTTTTCAGGTGTTGTGCGGAGGAAACCCATCGAATCCTGCATTTAGCTCACTGAAGGACGACATTGTTCTGCAATGTCAATTTGGCAGCGAGTAACAATATTGTGTTACTAATTCTCAGCCCCTGTATTTTCAGTGATTTTTTTTTTTAAAAACATGCAAAAATATCATTTTTTTCTAATCAGTGTGCTTGTTTCTTTTGCAGTGAGGTTGCCAGGTACACATGCTTCTGGAACAGTCTTGTAAATTTCTTAAGCCTAAGAAGCACAGGGTTTAGTTAGCTAACTGGCTCACACACCGTTCTCCTCTTGGATTCCCCCACAAGTCTCAGATTCAGCATTTAAAATTGAACTCATCATCTTCCCCTGTCTCCTTTAAAGGAATAAAGTCAATATGCTTCTACTGTGTGCCCTGCTATGCTCTATAGTGTACCACTATCCAAATAATTGCCTAAGCTGGGAAGAGGAGGCTGGGAAGAATCCTGGACTCTGGCTTCCACTCTCACATGTCCAATTGATAGTCAAGTCCTATCATTTCTATTTTGCAGAACATTTCTCAAATAGGTCCTCTGCACTCCATCTTCTCTCCTTGTGACATAATTTATGTTCTTCTCATCATTTCTCACTGAGGTTACAGCAAGAGCCTCCTAACTACTTTGTCTGCATTCAGCCCTGGCTTCCCTCCAGTCCATTCTCAAGTCCACCCTTGGGTGAGCTTAATAGCAACAAAACATCTATGCATGTCAGTCCTCTTCTTATCCAAAATCTAAACTCTGTAGTTTGGTATAAAGCCCTGTTATGATCTGGCTCCTGCCTTCCCCTCTTTGGGCACTTCTGTTACACCTGGATGTGCCCTTCTCCTTTTTTCTCTTCATCAAGCAAATGCCTGCTAATTCCTTAAGACTCAACTCTGGCATCATCTCCTGAAAGCTTTTCCTGAAATCCAGATGCATATCAATATGCTAGCACTTTACATTTATTAATACTCTATATGGGGGGGCATTCACTAAATGCTTTAAGGACAAGACTATGTTATTCGTTTTTATATCTCTGTTGCTTACCACTGTCTCATAAAAGGTGATATTGATGGAAAAATGAATAAATCATTGAAAGAATATATGTATATTATGCTGAGGAGGAAGTCCTTTGTTCATCTGTAAAGTGGAATTCTAGAGAACACACACGGTGAACGCTCATTTCCTAGTGCCACGGTTTTAAGCCTGAGTGACCTGGAGAATGAATAGTGGGGTCATGCTGCCAGAAATACTGCACGCTAAGCATTGTCCTGTGCTTTAAAACTAGACACTTGACGTTTTGCTGCAGACATTTTCCATGGGGGCATTTTATTGCAGCCTAAAAACAGTGACCAATAAATACTCGGAATTTTAATTACCAAGTAATGTGTGCAAAGAACCTCACTCAGCCCCTACGCCTTACCCCTCTCTGAGCCCCACTCTACCCTGTCACCACGCATGAGGCTCTGAGAGGGAGCAGACTCATGGGCGTCTACTACCGCTCTGACTTGGTAATAAAACTCAGTGCCTTGACGTTTTGGCAAAGTAGTTTTAAGACACCAGCCTTGTCAAATGTCCTGGTTTTTTTGTTTGTTTGTTATTGTTTTTTTTTATTTGTCACTCTGTCACCCTGGGTAGAGGACAGTGTTATCGTAGCTCACTGCAAACCTCAAACTCCTGGACTCCAGTGGTCCTCCTGCCTCAGCTTCCCGAGTAGCTGGGATTACAGGTGCATGCCACCACACCCAGCTAATTTTTTTTATTTTTGGTAGAGACAGGGTCTTGCTCTTGCTCAGGCTGGTCTCAAACTCCTGAGCTCAAGTGATCCTCCCACCTTGACCTCCCAGAGTGCTAAGATTATAGGCGTGAGCCAACGCGTCCCGCTGTGTCCTTCCTGTTTTGTTTTAAACTTTGGGGCTGTAGTAGAAGACCATCCTGTAGTGAGTACAGTCACAGCAGCTTACTGTGACTTTTCCCTTTATTTGACCTGTTTCTTCCCTGACAGCATCACTTGAGCAGGAGGGAGTGTGGGTGGGAGAGATGGACAGCTGGGTGATGGGGGTGGAGTTGCCCACGGCCTGCAGTCTTTCCTCTGGTATCTGAGACTGTGAAGCTGCTCGCTACCTCCAGCCTCAAGGGGAGGCAGAAAGGGTGCAGTGGCTAGTTTGTCCTGCAGTCAGTGTCTGAAAGGGAAGCAAAGGCACTGTCACCATGGAACAACCATGAAATGGACTCCTTATTTCAGAGGAAGAGGGTTACGTATTATTCCACTTCCACTGTTTTTGTAGAAAAAAGTCAGGGACTGTGTCTTATTCCTGTTTGTACCCTTTAATTATCTAGCGTAATTCTTTTAACATGGTAGATGCTTAAAAACTGTTTGTTAAATAAAGGAAGAGAAAAAAAATGAAAAAGTTGTGACTGCCTGACTTGCACCGTTACACACACGTGTGACTTTCATAAATCAAAGCATTCAGGATAAGAATGCCATGAATCATTAAAATACACATAATCCAAAATTTGGAGTAAATAAGAATGATTTTTTTTCTTTTCTTAAACCAAACCTGACAACAGAGCAACTAAAAATTCATAAGCTTGAAGTCCATTTTTTAAAATTGCTTTTTTCAGTGGCCTTCTTTCCCATCTTTTCTTATTTCCTTCAGCAAAAACAATGAGATATCATTACATAAGACTTTTTATTTGGGGGTAGATGGTGGAGTGGAGTGTTGTCTATACCTGCTTAGGAGAAGTAGAAATGATATTTTATGTGTGAAATACATCCTCTACAGGTTTTTAAAGACTGATTACTGGAAAATCAGTGTTCGAAAACATTATTGACATAATTATGCATTACTATCAATTATACAAACAACATGCAGCAAAATAAATTGATAATGATGAAGCAGCAGTCAAAATTCATGACTAATTAATAATAGTATCAAACACACAGTGTTCTTTATTTGCGAGACTCTGTTCAAAGTGCTTTACTTAAAATAACTTACATAATCCTCACAACAAATCTGTGAAGGGGGTAGTTTTATTAGCCCTCTTTTGCAGATGGGGAAACAGGTCAAGAGAGTAACTTGACCAGTGTCATATATTAATAGCGAGAAAGCGTCAGAGCTGGGTAAAAATTGGCCATCTGGCTCCAAAGCCTGTGCTCTTAGATACTACATTGCTCTGCCTCTCTGCTACACTCAAGACAATCATTGTGCATTAGGTAGAAAGCTGGCCCTTCTCTTATATCTCTGGATTCATCTCCTCCAGGGGTGGAGAACCTGCAACGTCAAGAAATCCAAACTTCACAGAACAAACCCCTTTATTAAAATCCCCTCTCAGGGGAAACGAGGTCTTACTCTGTTGCCCAGGCTGGAGTGCAGGGACTTGATCATAGGTCACTGCAGCCTCAAAATCCTGGGCTCAAGCCATCCTGCCTCAGCCTCCCAAGTAGCTAGGACTATAGGTGCACCCCACCACGCCTGGCTAATTTTTTTTGTAGAGATGGGGTCTCGCTATGTTGCCTAGGCTAGTCTTGAACTCCCGACCTCAAGCAATCCTCCCACCTTGGGCTCCCAAAGCCCTGGAATTACAGACATGGGCCACTGCACCCAGCCCCAAATATTTTTTAAAGCCCTAGGAATTCCTTGGAAGATGAGAGGACAAGAAAGAGACTTGTGGGCCCCCATCCTGCTCCATTTCATTAGTTTTATTCATTTATATTACTTCCTATTTCGTTTAACAAAAAAATTCAGTGGCTAAAATGTTGGACAGCTACTTCTCTTAGGAAATTATAGATTTCGCCAAGGCAAGGACTTGGAATAGTTGAGGTGTTTCATGTGTTGTAGAGTCCAGGCTTCCTGCTCTACCCTTTTAGAAAGGAACAATGATTGCTACCGCATGTGGTTGTTTTTACAATTTTATTAGATAGTATCTCTAAGGAGCCAGGCATGATGACTCACTTCTGTAATCCCAATGACTTCAGAGGCTGAGGTGGGAGGATTGCATGAGGCCAGGAGTTGGAGACCAGCCTGGGCAACATATCGAGACCTTGTCTCTAAAAAAATGGAAAAAAAAAATTAGCCTGGCATGGTGGTGCACACCTGTAGTCCCAGTTATTCGGGAGGCTAAGGCAGAAGGATCGCTTGAGCCCAGGAGTTCAAGGCTACAGTGAGCTATGATCATGCCACTGCACTACAGCCTGGGCAATAGAGCAAGACCTTGTCTCTTTAAAAAATAAAAAATAAATATTAAATAATATTTCTGATTTTATTTCTAATTATTTCTAATATTATAGTACTTACTATTTGAAACATAGTAATCAGTAAAGGTTAGAGTGAAGACCTAGATCATCTTTGGTATGTATTTTCAATTTCATAACAACATTTAAAGATATTGCCCTGTAATAGTACTCAACTCCAACTTCATTGATTTATCTTACTGAAAAGTTTGTTACCTCAGATGTGGCATAATCTTGGGTATCAAAATAATTTCTCCAGGACCTGGGTTTTCACTATTTCTGGGTTCTACTCTGC